AGGCCAGCATGAGATGACGGGGCCCCGCGCGGCACAGCCAGGAGGCATTGCTTGGATACCTGCCCTCAAGAGACATCTGGAGCCTTCAGGGCCCACAGATCGCCGCGTTTCGGGCAGCTGCTGCACGAAGGAAGCAGACCTTCTCAGCCGCCTACAGCAGCGCCCCCGCTCGCGGCGCCCCCGCGCCCCCCTGGGGCGAGGGCGCGAGGGCGGCCTCCGCCCCCAGCGCCCCCAAAGCGCGAGGCCCACGAGCAGTTCGACTGCAACCCTGCCCCGCCCGCGCGGAGGCCCAGCTCGTCGCCCCGCGAACGCGGCGAAGGCGGGCGCGCGCGGCTGACCGGCGCGCCCAGCAATCCCCCTGGGGCGGCCCGCAAGGACCGCGACAGCAGTTCCCCCAGCCCGCACTCAACGTCGCGCGCTCGCTCCAACTCAGCAGGCTGCGACCGGGGCCCCAGGGAACGACGACCCCCAGACAGCCCAGCCAACCTTGGCAACGACGGGGCGCGGCCCTGTCCGAGCGGCCCCCCGCGGCGAGCCAGAGACACGCCGCCGAAACCTAGCCGCCAAGCGGACAGGCGCAGCCGGCTGAACAATCCGACGGGGGCGCCTCGGGGGGCCACGAGGATGAACCTGCGCGCAAGACACCCCGCGCCGATGAGCAGCGCAGCGCGGGGCCTTCCAGGAGGGATCACGGGGGCGACGTGGCGGGGCGCGCCCCGCCGCGGCGCCGGGCCGACCCCCCCCCGTCGCGCGCCGACCCCCCCTCGCAACTATACCCCCCGCCACGATGCCTCTGACAGCCTGCACCTCAAGCCGCGACGGGAGATTCGGCGGCACCCCCGCTGGAACTACACCGCCAATCGGGAAGAGACTTGGCAGGAGTCGGTCAACCGCCTCAAGAAAGAACGTGGCTCCATGCAGACGGGCGGCTGGAATGCCGCATGCGACCTGGGGCGCGGCCCCTCCACGGACCTCAGACGCCCCCCCCCCCCCGACTTATACCGAGATTTCGTGTCAGAGCTCATCCAGGCCAACTTCGACGCCCGCGCCCTCTGCCGGAAAGAAAAAAAAGCGTCGATTGGGGTGCTTTTTGGGAGCTGGAAAAAGAAAAGAGAAGGCTCAGCGCCCAGGACTCGAAGGGCAAACGGGAGGGCCCTCCCCCCCAGAAGAAAAGCCAGCGCCCGGCCGATCCATCCATGCCCAGCAACGACTCCTCGCGCCGACGGTGGTCTGGGGCTCACAGTCGCCACTGGCGGCGGCATGTCCTGACCTGTTAGACGTCTCTGCTTTCCCTCGTGGACTTTTTTCCCAGCTTCCCCGGCCCCCCCCCCCCCGCCAATTCTAGCAGGGACACTGCGCGGCCCGCCCGGGGCGTGGCTGCGCATTTCGCCTCGCGAGCGCTCAGCGCTACTCACCCTTCCAGCAGGCCGACAATGGCCAGCCGGGCCCTCGGCACCGCTGGCGGCCCCTCCTGCTGGCCCGCCGCTCTGCGCGGCGTCGCTGCGCCTGTTCGACGCCTTCCCGCCCCCCCGCGCACCTCGGCGCACCCCCCCCGCGCGCCCTCGGCCCGCGTCGAGCGCCGCGCTCGCGCCCCCGTCCAAATGTCTCGCCCTCGCGACTCGGAGCCAGCTGCGCGGGCCCACCGCGGCGAGCTGCGCCGCTCGCGCCTCGGCCCCCTAGCGTTGGCCGCTGCGCGTGCCCTTGGCGGGCTAGTCTTGCCGCTCGACGTTGGCCCCCGCGCGCCTCTCCCCCAGTCGCTCCTGGCTGCCGCTCCCGGCCCGGGCGGTCGCCCTGCCACGCCGCTGCATCCCCTGCCTCGGCAGGTCGGATCGCTGGCTTTCTGTAAGTTTTGCTCAGGCACCGCCTGCGGCTCCAACCCTGGCGGTTCGGCCATGCCCTCGTCCGGGCCCGCCAGCCTCGGCCGTTCCCCCGGTCGGGCCTAGTTTTCAGGCCAGCCCGCAGTCCATGCGCTGGCCCTCCCAGCTGGCCCGTGCACACTGCACCACCCACCTCCCCGCGGTCCCTTCGTGGTATCTGGGCCGCCCCCTCCCGCGCCTTGCAGGTCCGTTGATCTCGGCTTCCCCCTTGCCAGCTCCTGTCCGGCCCCTCTCCGGAGGTGGTCTTCGGCGGCTGTTCAGTCGCTTGGAAGGTCAGCTCGACTGAGTGCTCAGCCGCCTCGCTGTTCGACTTGCTCACCCCCCCGAGCGCGTGCCCGGCTGCCTCTGGGCTGCCTAGCCCCCAGCTGCTGCCCCGGAGCCGCCGCTGGCTCCCCACCCCGGCGCCTGCCCCGCCGCCGCCTGGCCCAGCTGCGAGCGGGCCAGGTTTCCCCGCGCCGGGCTTCTTCGGCCCCCCACGCGCACTGCGGCTTACTTCGCGTTTTGTGTGGGGATCCCACTAATGCCACATCGCCGCAGCAGCACCTCTGCCCAGCTGCAGGCGCAAAAAGCGTTTGCGTGTGCGTGCGCGTGCGTGTGCGTGAGAGTGTGTGTGTGTGTGCGTG